TAGACACAATCAGATACAAGCAAAATGGTTATKCATTACCAAAACCGCTTGTCAACCATTCGAAATGGAAGACGAAAGGAACAAACAAAGAAAACAAGCCAGAACTTCGGCTGATTTGAGTGAGCTCTGAGAAAACACGTGATGGGTTCATTTACAGCGAGGCGGTGGTGGTATTTTGTTCCGTGCAGTCGGTTGTGAAGAGCACATCAAGAATTACAAGAAAGGAAATGAGCTTCATTACCGAGTCTTGGTAATAATAAAAACATATTGTCCCGGGCTCAAAACTGTGATGGACTTTGGTCGATGTAATTTAAGACCGACATTTCTCCAGCCCTCTAAGTGCTTGATGAATTCTTCAAAGCAGATTGATTCCCATCAGCAGAACGGGAACTGAGCAAGCTAAGTTTCTGCCACGCATGACCAATTTAATAAAAGATTTGGGAATATGAGCTCTTTGTTGTTTGATTTTTCCTGCTGTTCATGTCTACATAAATTTGCCTCCTCCTTGTTGTCCGTTTCTCCTTTCCTCTGTTGAGGCATTAAAGGAAAATTTGGATTGCTCGGTTATTTCTGTAGCACAATGGATCAACCCGTGTAGTGTAACCAAACCCTTTTCCTTGCTTTTAACTCGCCCTTCCCTCCCATAACACCCACACTTCACTCTGTTCTTCTTTTATTCACATATACAACCCTTTCCTCTATTGCCTTCTCCATTTATAAAGAATTAAACATATAAACAGTGCCTCTGGCATGGGCAGACACAAGCACAGATCCTCTCAAAAGGCTCCATTGACTAGTGTTTACTTAGGACCAGGGACATTAGGCTTTGCTAAATCGGCCTCAATCTTCCCCTTTCGGCTTCTCAGATTCGGTTCTGACTATAACACAGCCCCGCTTRCTCCCACATCCCAGCCACAGAGGTTGTGTGTCCTTTTGTGTGTGTGCACCGTTTGATGGCTGACGTTAAGCATGTAATGACCTAGCTTATCAGGGGTGTAACAGAACAAGGGCACAGCAGCATCAGGTAGGCTATATAATTCAGCCACCGGAAAGCAAACTAGGTATCATGAATGAGTGAGGATTTACAGAACGTAGTCATTGGAAATTAACAGTAAAATGAAGGTTCCCTTATATCTGTAATGACATCTGGACTAAAACTAACAGACATTAGTTTTGTTGAAAATATGACTCGTCTTGCAACACAATCATTAAGGAAAAAAATTATCTGTATGCTGTTATTATTCCCATGGGTGAGAGAAGGGGCTATGCTTAGCTTTGCATTAATTATTCCAGAGTGATTTTATTCTTTAGGATGCCCATCAATTACCAATCATTAAAGCTGCATTCATAGCGAGTTGCCACCAGCCACTGCCATCAGTTTTACATCAAAAGGCAAGTCTGGATTTTGGCAAACAACTTCAAGAACCGATCATCTGGAGAATAGACAGAAATAAGGTCTTTAAAGGATCCTTTCATCAAAGCAACATCCTGCCAGCTCCCTGCAGCTATAACCTCGTATAAAAGCCACATACACAAAGACACACAAATCCCCTTTCAAGAATCAATAATTCAGCTAAAGAGGAGCACATGCTACGCCCCACCGCACTAATCAATACMAAGCCAAATGTTATTGTTTCATCTCATTCTCTGACTTTCACATTCTAATTTGGCTTGACTCGCACATGTTGGACACATATCACATTACAACATGTCACACAAAGGGAGCCCAAATTAYAGACGCTCCTCGAGTTATTCTCTCAGACTGTCATCAAAGGATTTAGTTACTTTCTTTACATCATCCGTAGCAGTCAGATATGGTTAGATTTGCAGGAAAACTGCCAAAGAGAGGTCAAAGTAGGAAAAATGAACCATTTTTATTTCCCCTTATGACCTAACTGGATATTTATGCTCCTTAAATATGCCCCAAAGGAGCCTGAGGCCACACATCGACAATGCAGTGATGACGATGAGACGGACCTGTGGGATTTGGGAGTGGACTTAGTGTAACAAAACTGATTCAATATAAATATATACTGTGCCACAGCATGGCAGAAGAGACTACCGTGTGATTTTGTCAAGTGGTTTAACGTGGCAGCCAAGGCTATTCCCCCCTCCTAGTAATCGAGCCATCGATGATCATTAATGAGAGCGTGACACTGCACTCCACAGCCCTCTTGGCTACGTTTCCCAACACTCTGGCCCGTCTCCCAGCTCCCTTTCTCCTACTGACCCTCTGTCACATTAACCCACAAGGCCACATGATCTAACCATGAAAAAGAATCCGAACGTTGACTGCCAGACAGTTTCCACACAGAACTGAATGTGCCCCCCTCCCCCACAACCTTCACCCCCCACGTATACACACACAAGACCTTAATGGCTCGCTCAAGGATATATCAAATGCTGACGATGGCAAGATTGAATCTGCGCTGACCTTGGGAGTGAACTGCAGCTCAGGCGAAGGAGGGAGATGGGAGGTCCTGTTGCAACCGAGTGGGGATGCGGAGAATAAGAGATGGAAATGGTGGAAAGAAAAAAAAAGGCAAGAGGGAAGAGCATGGGAGAATAGAGACACGAGTTGATTGAGAGGCCCCAAAGATGAGCAATTCTGAGATATGAGGAGGGGAGGGGGGCAGGGAAGGAGGTAGGACAGAGGGAAGCCATGTGGTAGCAGCACAAATGTATTAAACTATAAATCAGCAGAGGAGCTWGTGGACTGCCAGGTGGGGCTGCAGTCAGGTCCTCCCCAGCTGGAKGTGCAATTGTTCCCATGGAAAAGAATAAAAACCATCTTCCTTTCATTGKTTTTTTAAAAGACGAACTACTTTTACATCCTTTTAACAGTTGCTTTTACCAGTCCCCTTTTTAATGTGTCTTTAACGTGCATCTTCAGTGATATTGTATTTTAAGTGAAGGTTTGCTTTTGTTGGAGCCCTGTCAAAGAAAAAAATCTGTCATCATCTGCGACAGACAGAGTTTTCTATTCCACTTTAAAATAAACACAACATGTCAAGTTGGCACATTCTAATTTACTGCAAATCTGTCCATCAAGTTTTAAAACATTATATCCAGCCAAAAAGTCTTTATCTTGTTTTGAGACAGATTTACTAAACCAGAACTGATTGTATAAGAATAATAATCTTGTTTTCAGAATGTGTAAGATTATTTGTCTTGTTAGTCTGAAAATTTGACTCAAATTAAGTCAAAAATTTCTGCCAATGGAGTAAAAAAAATTTACTTGGTAAGATTCTTGAAATACTTGCTTTGACTCAATTTTTTTCTTATTTCAAGAATCTTACCAAGTAATCTNAAAAAATCTGTCATCATCTGCGACAGACAGAGTTTTCTATTCCACTTTAAAATAAACACAACATGTCAAGTTGGCACATTCTAATTTACTGCAAAAACTGTCCATCAAGTTTTAAAATCTTATATCCAGATAAAAAAGTCTTTTTGATCTTGTTTTGAGACTGATTTACTAAACAAGAACTGATTGTGTAAGAATTATAATCTTGTTTTCAGAATGTGTAAGATTATTTGTCTTGTTAGTCTGAAAATTTGACTCAAATTAAGTCAAAAATTTCTGCCAATGGAATAAGAAAATTTTACTTGTTAAGATTCTTGAAATACTTGATTTGACTCAATTTTTTCTTATTTCAAGAATCTTACCAAGTAATCTTTTCTTACTCCAATGGCAGTAATATTTTACCTAATTTTAGTCAAATTTTCAGACTAAGACAAATAATCTTACACATTCTGAAAACAAGATTATTATTCTTACACAATCAGTTCTTGTTTAGTAAATCAGTCTCAAAACAAGATCAAAAATACTTTTTGGCTGGATATAAGATTTTAAAACTTGGTAAGAATGACAGTTTTTGTAGTACAGTAGATTGTTGTTTAGTGTAAATGTGTTTTATTGAGCAAATTTAACAAAAAATATTGAATAGGATCAATTTGATGATCAAATACCAACTTCTTGAAAACTCAGGKGCAGAGGGTACATTTAGATCAAGTATTAGAAAAGATCAAACATTAACTAAAAACAAAATGAGACATAAAATATGTGTTTTATTTCAACAGCTGCAGTTTGTTGTGCCGCCGCGTTACATCCTAATGTCACAAAATTGGACAGAAGTTAGTGTTGCACATTGTGATAAAAAAAAAGGAAAAATAAAACAGAGTAATCCTCAAAAGGCTTCCATTTTAATCCCCTGATGATGTCTGGGTAGCGTGCCCAGCCAGCGTCCTGGCAGCCGTCAGGACCCCGGCCTGGGCTTYCATCCCAGAGGCGCTGATGCAGACTACAGCTAGAACAAACATGGGCAGCCCACACCATGCCTGGTCAGTGTCACAACCAAACCATCAACAGGGGCTCATTACCTTCGTTACAACAACACATTTCAGTTTTAATGTGAATCTAAAAATCCGTACTGTAATTAGTTTGATCAGAAAAGTGGCAGTTAAGCTTTTAAACAATAGACCACATCGAGCATGAAAATACTTCATTAGTAAATTAAATTTTGATCCTTTTTTTTCATTTGTCTAATGTGTGTCTGGATAAGAAAAATGCTGTGAATTGGCAATTGTGATTAAAAATGTCTGAATTTCCTCATATGGAAGRGGTGAATGGTGGACAGCTTTCAGTTACGGTCTACTTGTGTGGACTAACAGTAGCCCAAAGCCTTCATCCTTGATTTCTTATCCTTGATCATCCCCTCGGTGATGGGTACACACACACATGCATGCACACAGTAACATAGACGTCCAACCTCCAAGAAGTGCCAGCCACCTAAAACCATCACAGCCAAGGCCAGCTATCTACCAAATCCCATCTCTTGTGAGAGATAAGACGGTGATGTGGAGAGGGGTGAATTAGAGGAGGAAGAAGGAGGGGTCCTTGAGGATGAGGAAGGGCGGGAGGGAGACGGTACAAAAGTGAGTGAGTGTAGCAGATGAGGGAGTTTGAGGAATTAAAGAGGAGCAGAAGATCAGCATACCTTRGTTTGGAGATAGTGGGGGTAGTAGTAGGTGTACTGAGGGTACATTGGCTGCTGCTCCAATCGCTTGCCCATGTAGCTGGAATCCTTAGCACTGAGGCAGGGAATGGTGACACGGGAGGGGGGTTGTGGGGGGGGCGAGAGCTGCCAAGTAGCTAGCAATGTGACAGAGGCAACAGAGAGGCTGTGCAATTCCAGTCCTTGCTGTTTGCACCAAAAGCTGGTCCTGTAGAGAGAAGACCTGTGGTTTGGAGAAGGTCCGCCTTGGATCAAGAAGCTCTCGTCGTCGGCTGCCCCCCCCTCACTCGCTCAGAGACTTGGTATCAGGCAGGTGCCCACTCGCTGCTGGATCAATAGAAATATTTCCTCAAGTGCTAGAAACCAAGAGTGGCGTGTCTGTCGGCGGCAGCTAACGGATAGTGAGGGTGAGGTAGAGGGAAAGAAGAAAGAGAAGAGGTGCAGGTGGCAGTAGCTCTGGCAGTCCTAAGAAGGAGAGGGAGAGGAGGAAGAAAGGAACGGTAAGGAGAACGGGAAAGGACGTATAGGTTCTCTGTTTCAGCTGTTTCACTCCAGTCTTTTCTTGCCAGGGTTTTAACTCGCTCTTACTCCCCCTCACTATGTCTTCCCCCCTCTCTTACATCCACACAAACACACACACAGACAGACTTTCTCTCTAGTGTGATTTGACGATGGCTGCGCACTGTCCTGCTTGTCAGAGGAAGATCTCCCCAGTGCCAGTTGGCAACAGATGCACTTTGTCTGAGGAGCAGGATCACAACACRAGAACGTAGTACAGACACAGAGAACAATCACAGTCTATAGCAGAGTCAGCAGGAGCACGAATAAAAGAGAAATGATCCCAGTTTCTAAATGTGGCACAAGCATATATTTAAAAAAAAAATCCACTGCTTGGGTAAGCCAATCCACTCAGTTCCAGCTGTAGACAAGTGGGGGGAAAAAAGACAGTGACTGTGTCCTGGGTGCCCAGAGGAGACAGAGTCCCTCGTCTGCGATCCTCCTCCTTTTTGCTCGTGCAAAACGTGTTCCTTATTCTTCCTCGGCTTTCTCTAAGCAGCTTGCATCTCTCGCGTGCACTTTCTCTGTCACTCAGCCTCTCTCTGTCTCCTTCTCCACCACACTGACAGGGTGGTAARGGGGACTCATCCGATGGTACAAGCMGAGCAGACTGCCTCCTCCTTCCCCCCAGCCCAGCCGGTGGGAGGGTCTTGAGCAGCTCTGTGAGAGTGAGGGATCCAGACACAGACCAGCGGGCTGCAGCGTTTTCACAACATGAGAGAACGCGGGGGGGGGGGGGGGGGGGGGGGGGAGCTGAGGAGAGGAGTGGAGACTGGAGAGGTTAGTTCCAGTGCAAGCAGTCGATTCCCCCTACTGGCTGCTCAGGGAGCTGCCATCTGGAACACAGTGTCTCCATACCGATGTGCTCTGTTTACTCCTAAAGTTTCACAGTTCTCCATTTGCGCAGTAACATGTGCCTGACAATTTATTTATCACATTACAATTAATGAACCAACAAAAATTACACTTAAAGTGCAGATTTGGAATATAACGTCAGGGTCAAGGATTAACATACATCTTGAAAACATGGAAAAGCGAAAACACAATACAACATCCATTATCTATACTAGTTTATTCCTTTTCTAGGGCCACGGGCATCACTGGTGCTCATACTGTATCTAGCAGCAGTGTTGTATAAAGTACCACAAAGTTATATTTGAGTAAAAGTACAAGTATCTTACCAAAAAACAACGTTGGTAAAAGTTAAAGTCTCCTTTAGGAATATTACTTGAGTAAAAGCCTTAAAGTATCTGATATGTTTTGTACTTAAGTATTAAAAGTATTGATTTAAAATGAGCAGTTAGATTTTCTGACATTTATCAGGAGGTGACCTCCCTAAAAACTGCAGAAATGACTATATTACAATAAAATAATTAATTTATGTTAAATTTAGGATGAACTAGTTCAGCTGTTTCAGTTTATATACAGATATCAAGGCTGCACAAAACTTTTCCTCAAAATGAAAATCTGTCTGAGGGCTGCAGCCAAATGCAATAATATAATTCATGAAATACAAATACTTCCTAAGTACAGTCCTTTGATTTTAATGATTATGTCCTGCTGGAGTGTGACATGATTTGTTTGTGTACAAACTAATATGGTATCAGAGTTTTATATATTTATACTTCTCATTCAACCACAATTAAATTCACTCTATGTAAGCGGCACAGTTTATATGGATAGTATTTACTTTTTAAAATAAGCTGGAATGAAAACAAGCAAAAATAAAATAAAAGTAACAACTTTCTCCTTTTGGCCTTTTTAAAAAATGTAGAGAGTAGAAAGTACAGATAATTGTGTGAAAATGTAAGAAGTAGAAGTAAAAAGTAGGCTGAAAAATAACTACTCAAGTAAAGTACAAATACCCAAAAATTCTACTTAAGTACCGTGAAGAAGTATTTGTACTTAGTTACTTTACATCTCTGTCCAGCAGTCACAGTGCGAGGGGCGGGGTACACCCTGAACAGGTCGCAGTCCATCACAGGGCCACTCACAATACAACAGCCACCATTATATTCTTTATTTTTTTCCCTTTAGCTCCTGGAAAGAAGATATGAAGACTTTGGTGGTTTAAAACCTYTGCTCTGCACAGTACTACATGTGTGTGTCAAACAACAACAACAAAAAAACTTTTGGTTTAAAAACAATACTGTCCTGCTTTAAAGGAGACATATCATGCAATATCCACTTTTGAAGCCGTTATATATTAGTTGTGTACTCGGAGTCTGTAGGAGTGCAGAAAAGTTGAACTTAGTTTGTCCCGGTGCTGAACAGATAYCTTTATATTCTGTTTGGGTCATATTTTTCAACTCGTTCAGTTTTCTCTGTGACGTTTTCTGAGCCACTGCGTTAGTATTTGTGATGGAACTTCTAGTTAAAGTCTGGACTTACCAACTTTGTCGTCTTCATTCACCCCTGACTCTGGGTCAGACTCTGGCTCCGACACGTAAGGCTGGATGGACAAGCCTTCCTTTCTTAACATCTTTTAATTAGTTTGTAAATAAAAATTCCTGCACAGGTTTATAGTCGTAAACCCCTTTATTAAACTACAGTGGACCGGTCTGGAAGCTGGATTTAAAGAGACAGCCTCGAAACGAGTTGATCTGAGACACAGTTCAGAAAATGGGGTGAAAGAGGGGCTTGTGGAGTTACAATAAGGAGGAATTCAAACCAAAGCATTGCAGTTCCTCTTTATATAGACCCCAAATGAATGATTTAAATGTGAAAAAGGATTTAAAAGGATATTTCTCCTTTAACATGACATCACATAATGCAAAACAAACTTTTATTACGTAGTGATTAAAGGGAAAATCAACTTCTATGTTCCTCTATGCAACAATAAATCATTATAATTAATGGTTTTAACAAAATTAAATCACGAACAAAAACATTTGGTCATGTCAGAGAGAATTAACCTGATTGAAAGCAGCATGCAGCTTTGCTCGTGCGATCAAAAGAAACTCTCACAACAGCCTCGCTAATCTTTTTTTTTTCTCCTCCAAATAAATTTACAGGTAACTGAAGAAAATTTCTTAACAGCATATCAATGGTGCAGCCTTCACACATTCAAGGGCCTAATTTTTCATTCAATCGGCATTTCAGCACAGTTTTGATTGAAACTGTTCTCRGTGAGCAATGAAAAAAAAAATTGCAACCGGAGACTTCAAGATGAAATTACTCGAGTGAGAACAAGTCAATTTTGGCAATTTCTACATCTGAAAATACACCCGTCACTGCAATCAGGTTGCTCCTCGGTTTTATTTGCTACACTTCAGAGCATTTCACAAAAACCGTCAAAGTTAACATCCACTTCTCAGATAACAATACCCTAATTACATATTTCTGGCAGAAACGTCGGGGGGTTAAATGGAGATTTATTAAGGAGGGGGACTCCACGGTTGTGGTTTTGCAGAGAATGTGGAGCTTCTGTGTGCAGGTACTGTAACAGGGAAGTTGTCACTGACATCATTTGACAAGCTAGAAATAAAACATGGCGACAATATTGTTGGTGAACACATTTACCTAATTTCCCTCTGGGATCAATAAAGTATTTTTGAATTGAATTTAAATTGAATTTATCAGCATTATTCCAAATTCAGTTATGTTGAACCTCCTGGGACTTGGCACCACATGGACAAAAATGCATGCGGTGCAAGAGTTTCTTRGAAGGTTAAAATAAAGAAATACTCTAAGATATAAATGCTTTAAGACTTTTCTGTAAGTGTGTTTTCATGTGAATATTTACTAAAACACATTTTTATGCTAAAGTAAAAAAAAGATAAATATTTTTTTCCATAGTCTACAGTTTTTGGATTTTATCTTTGAAGTGATTTACTGTTTTACTGATTGAGTCCATTAGTCACTGAGGAACTTTCATTTTCTCTTCATCGTGGTCACAAAAACTATCCTAAAAAGTGAAACTTATAATCAGTTTTAGCACGGGCACAGCCTGTGGTTAGTTCTATTTCTCTCCTTAAATGMTCTGCTTAATGCAACTTAAATCACGCTGTGAGTTTTAAATGCAAAGGCCGCTGTCAGAGCTGGAAAAAAAAACTTTGTTTGATTGTTGTGTTTGGAAGTCGTCATGGAAATTGTGGCTTTTCTTGTCTTAAAGCCTGAGAATGGTGTTAAAGTTTTGCTGAAGATATGCAAAGTTTAAGCCCCCCATGATAACAAGACAGACATGATCCAGTTTAACTGAGTGTACTGAGTACTTTCTTCAATTATAGTGATGATGCTTAAGTATTAAATAGGTTAATATCACATTGTTGGATTTTTTTTTTAACTTTTACATCTGGAAGCAGCCATACATGCAGTCAAGCTGAATCGATTCCAACGAGAAAATCTCATGAATCACAGCAAAGCACCAAAGGAAAGGACAGCCTATTACAGACATGGAGAGGAAAATATAATTATCAGATAGGCCACTTTTAGCTGAAGGAAAGAGATAAGACTGGTATTGATTGTGGATTACCAGATTAACAGCTCCTGCTTCACCTGGACACAAACTCGCCGTGTTTGTGGAAAGACAGAAAGTCTAAGGAAGACAAACCCCAGTGGGAAAAAAATAATGGAAGAAAAAGATACAGAGCGAAAATAAGACACACAGAAAGATGGAAGCACAGAGGCAGAAAAGAGTTATATTTCTTCATAGCACTGTGTGCCCAGTGAGCGATCAGGTGAAGTCATCTCTATATTTCATAAATACAAGGATCATCATWTCTGTATTTTTATTATTTTATATGAAGTGAAACAGAGCAGCAGAGCAATTTACCTGCTCACAGATTTTATCCACATTTGACCAAGAATTGTGTCTCCCACTGAACTACATATTTTACCTCCAAAAGCTGAAAGCAAGGGCAAACAGACAAATTATGTGTACAATTAGGATGAAGCAGTTTAAACATAACAGTGAGTTTTATTTAATCTGAACAGTTAACTACATTTTCTTACCATTGGAGCAGGGGTGCCCAAAATTTTTTCTTAGAGAGGGCCAAAATGAAAATCTATCTGGGGGCTCTGGGCCAACTGCAATAATATAATGCATGAAATACAAAWACTTCTTATGTAAAGTCCTTTTATTTTTGATTTAAAAAAGCTAGTGTGGTGGCCATTGTTTTTGACTAACTGCACTATAAACGGCTTTAGGTGGAAATACTGTGTTCCTACATAGGACAACGGATTACAAACTAGTAACCATTGCAACTGCTGGTGGGCTAAATCAAATGGCTTGGCGGGCCAGTTTTGTCCCGTGGGACCCACTTTGGGCACCTCTGGATTAGAGCATTAATCCGTATGATAAAAAATGACATAATTTACTAATAAAAAAGTTTAGTACTTGTTTAATTAATAAACAGCTATATTATTATTGATTGATACAGCTATCTATTAGTAAAATAATGTTTATTCTCTACCTTTTTGTATTTTTCATAGAAGAAATCAGTACATTCAATTAAAGATGTGTARTACTCTAATTACAAATTATTCTGTTTCTATTTGTGACTGCAAAGTCATCAATCTCATTTTAAGGAAATGCATTCCTATTAGCCAACACAGAACAGTGACACAAAAGAGTACCATTACAAAGACAGTGATTAGTTAAACTATTAATATTCATCAAG